GGCCAGCAAGAGAGAGCACGCCTCCACCCTCTACCATCGCTGCCCGGCATGGCGGATCCTACCATTTCAACCACCACCCCAAACCCACACGTTCAGTCAAGTGTGACCGTGGGCTATGGCAGGACAGCCGCAGGTGGTGGGAGACCTTTCTTCCCTGAGCCTAAGGCAAGCGGAGCAGTGCAAGCACACCCCCCGGCAGGTCTGGATAACACTTCCCAGGGGAGAGAGGGCCACGGACTGAGTCGGCATCACAGACAAGTGTTTTACCTTCATCCCGAGCATGCTGAATGAACATACCAATCACCGAACTGATGTTCTTCACAGCCGACGGGAAGCCCTCCTTCAAACCCAATTGGCCTAAACGACCTGGGGAAACAAAAAGCAAGGTGAGTGATCTTTGGTTAAATGCAGATTGGCTTTTCCTAAAAACTGAAATGGACTCCCTTCTGTGCAAGTTACATGAGTTAAACCTAAGTACCCTGAACTGATTGACGTTAAGGTGGTAAGATGGATGCCTGTCTTTCCACACAGAGACTGTCGATGTCAAATAGCGGCTTAGGCAGCACCAGCGTCTTTCAGGGGTGATCAAGGCACACGTGTGGCCTCTGTGGACCGGGGCGCTGCTCCGCCAGATGGGCTGCAGTAGGCAGAATGGACAGTTGCTGCAGGAGGCGACGTGACAGGCTCACTTCCGTGAGGTCAGCCACCGTTACAAACCTCAGGCCCCTTCAGAAAGCGTCTTTGCAGTGTAACACTGGTAACTTGCTGTCATCGAGTCCAGCGCTTCTCCAGGTGTGGTCCACACACCGGGGACTCGTCGAGGTCAAAACCACTTTCACAGGGACTAAGGCGCCTTCACCTGCTGCTGGGACACGGACTGGCGCAGAGGCAAGGCACTGGCCCTTTGGTGCCAATCGGGGTGGTGGCACCATTTCGTCAACAGGAGCTCACCATTAAAACGCCACCTTCACTTCAGCACATGCTGGATGAAACAGGAACAAGGTCTACACGGAACCCCAACCCAAAACACGTGCTGTGTATCCGTCCTATACGATGAGGCAGGATGTGAACTCCAGGCACTGCTGCAGCCTGGAGCGCATGGGTGTCCCGAGGAGGGGACCAGGCCACCATGTCCACGGGCACCAAGTTCATGTGCAAGAACAACCGATAAGCAATGGCTGCTCAGATCAAGGCAGATCTCCCAAACAAAGGGGCCCTATCAGTTCAAAGAAGTGTATCACTGTTGATGATAAACTTTGAGCTTTGCAGCAAAATCAGAATTCTGGAACACTTCGGTCAGTCACTCTGATTTGGCAGCTTTCCACCACTTCAGACTGCTCGGACAATACCCGTGTGTGTACGTGCATGTGTACGCGTGTTCAGTGGATACTGTGGACGCCCAAAAGGTCCGCAGCCTAGCCTGACAGACTCTAACGGACCACAGTATGAGACATTCAGAGGTCCCACATCTCCCAGCACAACCAGGGAAGGGCTGAGTCCTCCCTAAGCCGCACTGTAGCAGCACAACCATCCGGAGACCGGCAAGGACCCTGGCACTCTGCTCCTGACACATCTGGACGACACTGGATTTTCCTCACATATCTTCCCAACACAGCTCAGCGAATGACACTGAGCAGGTACGGCATTCCTGAAGCACACGTTAAAGAGGTCTGTAACACCACCACCCCTCCCTCCACCTTCACTTGTTTTTGAAGTAGTTTTATTATTAAAAATGCCATTTATGGTAAGTTTGTTGTTGTTGTTGTTATGTGCCGTCGAGTCAAACCCGACTTATAGCGACCCCTCCTTGGGTTTCCGAGGCAGTATCACTACGGAAGTAGGATTGCCCAACCTTCCTTCCGAGAAGTGGCTGGTGGGTTTGAACCGCCAGCCCTCTGGTTAGCAGGCACGTGTCTTAGCTACTATGCTACCAGAGTTATTTTAAAACTCACAGCTACACATTTTTATTTTATTTTATTTTACTTAAATTCCTCAGTTTTAATTTCTAACACAGGGAGTACAGACAGAAACAGTTTAGAATCAAGGATGTCATTTGAGGTGGGTCTTCAGTCACTTTTTTCAAAAAAGCTTTTCATTGTGTATTTGCTAAAAGTTTACAGAGATTCCTTTTCCATTCAGCAGTGCACACACATTTTGTTTCATGACACTGATTACAACCCCCACAACATTAACAGCTCTCTTCCTACTTCCTCCCTCTGGTTACCTTTTCCCTGTGCCCTTCTTTCATATGGATTCCTGCCCTCTGAGCTTTCTCCCTGTGCAAACGCTCCCCTTCTGACCTCCCAAGGTTCGCTGTTCTTATAAGGAGTGCACCTACCTGGTTAATTTGGTACCTCATAGGCCTACTATCTGGCTGGACACCATGGGAGTGAGTTCAAGTCCAGCCCCAAAGAGTGATTAGGGACCATAGTCTCTGAGTTTCACCAGTCTCCATATGACCAGTAAACCCAGTCCTAGGTCTTCAATAACCCTGGGGAGTATACAGGTCCCAAGCCCTACAGGCTGAGAACCACGGATAAAGATCCAACCTCATGGCCCCAGCTCTTCCCATTGCTCCGGCCCCTCCCTTCACCCCAGTGGCTCTCGTGTAGACGGCTGTGTGCACAAAGGTGCCTGCAGGTCCCACCCGTCTTGACCGTCTTGACCATCTCAGAATCCCAGCTGGCTCTGGGTGGACTCCTCTCCCTCCCACCATGGCAGGCCCACACCCTCCTCTGTGTGTACTCTCACAAAAGACGAGACTCTGGGCCAGTTCTTAGATGTGCTTTCAGGCACTCCACAGGAGAAAAGACCTGGCTGTCTGCTCCCGTAAGATTTACAGCCTTGGAAACCCTATGGGGCATGTTATTCTGTTCTACAGGGTTGTTCTGAGTTGGAACTGACTAAACAGGAGAGGGTTTGGTCAGAGTCCCAGGAAATACCAGGAAACCATGTCATTCTAGCCAACATGATGGGTCAGGGTAGCAACTGTCTGTCCCACTGAGTGGCCTCAACAAACAACAGCTAACCTGTCTCAGCTCTTCATGAAGGAAGGACTGGTCAGATGAGGCTTGATCAGTGCCCCACATTATTCCAACCCTAAAGCAATTTGGGCAATTCAAGAGTCTGCAGTCTTTCACACAGGAGCACTCAGTAAGTAAGAGTGAGTCCCGTTTAATTGTTACGCATGACCATTCGTTAATACAAATGTTGACCTTATCTACGTTTACCTCAAACTTCAGGTAATACAAAATCGTTTCGGCAGAAAACTTGTTTCCTTTCCCAGTAATATGTCCATGGAATAAAAGAATTCACCAATTCAGATTTTATAAACTTGGAATTAAGAATAAAGACAGTTCTTTTATGTTACGTGCAAAAGCAGATTACTTCAGCTAGGATCACCCTATGAACAGAGGCAGCAGGTAAATTTGGTTAGGATTATCTCAGGAATGGACGTAGCGGGTGACTTTGGTGAAGATTACCTCATGAACGGAGGCAGCGGGTGACTTAGGTCAGGATTATCCCAGGAACAGAGGCAGTATTATCCCAGAACTGAGGCTAGGATTACCTCACGAATGGAGGCAGCCGGTGACTGAGGCCAGGACTGTTAAACCACAGCCAGTCAATACCATTACAGATGAGATTCACTATCAGCCTCCAAACATGCCAGAAGGTTCCCCAGAGAGGTTTTTCTTGGAAGCCTTTTTCTCTCCAGATGCTGACGAAGTGGGTGCATGAAGGTGCCTGGAGGTCCCACCCGTCTTGACCAGCGCAGCATCCCAGCCAGTCCACCCAAAGCGCAGGCTGGCTGTGTTCTCCCCACAACCTCGGCCTCCCACCCCCGTGCCTGCCTGGTCGCCCTGCCACTTCCTTGCCTGTGTGTGAGGTGCCGAGCCCGGAGGCAGCGCCCCAGCACATACAGCCTCTCCTGCCCCAGCTACGGCACCGCGGCTTCACCCGGCTCCCCCACCTCTCAGCTACAGTCGAGTACTTTAGGGTCGCCACTTTAGGACACAATATTCTTAATTTTATATTATTCTCAATTATTTTTGTCCACATAATATGTAACTGTGTTAGTTATCATTCTTATTTTATAAGTGTACAGATATTATTCTAAATAACATACATCATTAAATGTTATAAATCATCTAGCCATTTCTCAACAGCAGAAATGGAAACAGTTGTGGACCACAATAACTAGCCTGAACCTGACAAGTGCACCTGAGCGTGCCTGGCGCAGTCACAGACTCTGGTTCGCAGGCAAGCCGAGGACATTCGCCTTCAGCCACAGACGGACGACTCCTACGGTCCCTCTCTGAAAGTGCCTGTGTGACCCTGTGTCCTCTGTGTCTGAGCGGATTAGATCGGCCGTGACCCTGTGCCGCTCTGCTCTCCACGTGTGACGCTGGACCCAATGACGGAACCTGCTGACTTCCTCACGGCGACACCGTTGTCACCCCCAAGGCCCCGATCGGAAGTTTGACACAGGAGCCTGAGAATGCGCCAGTAACAACAGCATCGCAGGAAACAATAAAAATCAACAGAAAACCCAAGTGGAGGTGAGTGGACTGCGGGGCGGGGCCTGTGAAAGCCGGAAGTGGAGCTGAGCAGTTGGCGTGGCAGAAGTAGTCAGTATAAAGCACACATTCATAAAGCCTGACTGGGAAAGGCGCTGGAGATAACCGTCCATCAGACCAGGCTTTCACTGAAAATAGACCACGTCCACTGCAGCAAAAGGCGGCCAACGGGACACCAGCTTCCATGTCCATGATCTCTCACAGGACAAGACCTAATGGGCAGCTGCCCATCACCTCAGCAAGTCACAGCAGAGGTTACAGTGTAACTTCAAAAAGTACCGTTCCATCTGAGAACTTCAGAGGACACCACCTAAGTCAGCTCACCTACCTCCAGATGGGACACATCTCTGGCTTTTTGCAACTCCCCACAAGAGTCTGCCTTTCAGAATGAATAAGACCAAAAAAAGAGCTTCTGTTCTGAATGCCCAAGAGGAGCTGCTTCTGAAATCAGAATGGCCAAGCAGCCAGAGGTCCCTGACTGGGAGGGTCTACAGCTCTGGTCCTGTGTCTCCTGGGTGGTCATGAGAGTGTCTGCAACAGAGGGCCCTGCAGTCTGCTCACCTCCACGTCCGGGTTTCAGAGGCCACACCCTGCAGCCTACTCACCTTCCCTTCTGGCTTTGCTCCGTGGCCTCCTCCTGCTCATTGGAAGGCCTACACTGCTCAGTCTTTACCAGTCACCTCCTCGTTTGATAACCCTACTCACAGTGCATTTCTGGTAACTTTCAGAGAAATGAAGTGTGCCTACCTTGAAACCAGGCCTGTTCCAAGCAGGAATGCAACACTGCTGATAGTAACACAATAAGGGATATTATACTCCTTAAGGAGCTCTGGTGGTGCTATGGTTAAAGCACTTGGCTGCTAACCAAAAAAAGGTTGGTGGTTCAAACCCACCAGCCACTCCATGGGAGAAAGATGAGGATGTCTGCTTCTATAAAGATTTACAACCATGGAAACCCTATGGGGGTCGCTATGAGTCAGAATCAACCCAATGGCAGCATGTTTGGTCTGGATCATATTCTTTACTGTGATGACTTACTTATGTAACTTACATACTCTCAAACAATAACCCTCACCCTAAATGGTGTTCTGAGTTAAGTCAGAGTGCATTCCTGTACTAGTGGATCTCATCATTGGCTACTCTGCAGAACCAACAGCATGTCCAAGACAAAGCAAAGAGGGAAAAATAAGTGAAAGATAAAGATCTCAGGGTGATAAAGGAGGGGACTGAACCAGATCCCGCAATCTGAGATTAAGAGGAATCTACATCTCATTTAAAATACGTCTACATAATGATATCTGGTGGTGCAGGGGTGAAGGTATTCGGTTGTGAACCAAAGTCAGTGGCTCAAATCCACCAGCCACCCCGCAGGAGAAGATGAGGCAGTTTGCGTCCGTAAAATTTACTGCCTTAGAAACCCGGGGGGCGGGGCGGGGGTCACTATGGGTCAGAATTAACTTGATGGCAGTGAATCTAAACAAAGATTTTAACTTCTGTGTATTCAGTTTTGAGGAAAACAGAAGAAAATAAAAACTAGTTCCCAGTCATGCAAGTACATGAAATGATCCTTATTGTGAAAGTATCAAACACATTTTGGGAGAGAGAGGTGGAAATATCCTTCTTTTGGAGATGAGATTAAGAGTGTCGGAGAATTTATAGCGATTTATGCTCCTGGGGTGTGTGTGTGAGGGAGTGCATCTCTGTGTATTATCATCCAAGAAGCAAGTGTTCAATTATAAACAAAACCCACTCATATGGGAACTCAGAGTCCCTGCCAACAATGGATGCAACGCTGATTTACAAAGAATGCGCGTGAGAGCGGAGGATGAATCAGGCTGCAGAGGCGTCTGCCCCACTGGGTCCCCACCATCAGTCTGCCTCGGTCCTCCAGTGCTGCTCTAGCAGAAATACAAGCGGACGACTTTAATAAACAGGGATTTACGCTCTTACGGTGTAGGAGGCTAGATGTCGGAATTCAGAGTGCCAGTTCTAGGGGCTGCGTGAAGGCCTCTCAACCTTGGGCTTCAGCTCTGCCTCTTGTTACAAGCCCACTGGAGCTGAAGGCTTCTCTGAACTCATGCAGCTGCTGGCTGCTGAGGCTGATGAACCTGGGATCAGCAGGTGAAATGGCACGATCCCATTTCTGCCACAAGATCGGCAGACAACACGACAGGCCACTGGTTCAAACCAAGGAACTGGAGATGAAGACTGCCAAATGCAGGATCCAAGTGTGCTAAGGAGCTAGAAACCTTCCTCAGAGCTTCTCTGTAGACTCTGGGAGCAGGCCATACCACAGAGACAGCTCTCCTTCCATTGATTAGGTGCTCACAGCAGGTCCCACCAGGGAGGTGGTCCCACCAGGGAGGTGATTACAGTCTCATCATGGGAATAATGACACCAGCTGCCCAGCCACTCAAAACCATGGCCCAGCCAAGTTGACACACAACTTTAACTACCACACAGTCATTATGGTCAGTTTTCAACATCAACATTACTATTATACAGGGAGTTCTTTGCTCATTGTCGTATCATGAGTCACAGGAGAAGCATTTAAGGTAGAAGATACTCACCAATGAGCCGCAGCACTGATGCTATAATGATGTCAGGGGTATAGGTGATGTTTGCGTGTCCTTTTCTGTATTTGACCCATTTGTCCATTACAGGCCAGAGCTCCTTGCTATCAAATTAAAAAAGAAAAAGTTTACTTCTTACGTGGCATTGTTCATGTGTACTAGAGAAATTAAATGCAGACAAGAGAATGAAGACTACAGCACTCCATGCCCCCATCCTCAGACAACTGTTACTCTTGTAATTATGTTATCATGTTTCTGGACCCTGTACCTAATGACTTTGTCCTGTGTCCAAACCCTGGACCTTATGACACTGTCATGTGTCTGACTTCTTTCTTCATGTATGAAGGATGCATGACTGCACTGCAGTACCTCAGGAAGAGGGTCTGCAGCTACTAGGCAGACAGTCAACGTCCTTACTGGGGACCAGCATCAGCTGCTGGTACCTGGTGGCACCCTGCCTCCTGGGCCCCAGAAAGGAGATGCTGAGGGCTGCAGTACACACACAGCACCCAGACTATTCTCGCTTCCCTGTCAGTCCGGAAACATCCATTCCTAGCTGTTTCTTTAAATCAATTGCATCTCCACCTATCATCACTCCCCTCATCTGACAGTCCATGTCCACTCTCCTCTCCTCTAGAACTAAGGGGCAGTACCATACATGGCCCCACATCCTTAGACAATCACTTGACTATTCTCACAGAACACATCCCAAAGTATCTCCAGGATGCTGACTCATGGCTCTCTAGTGAATTCTTTTACTGTCATTATCTCCCTTAGACAAGCCTCTCAGCCAGTGTTCCACGAGAACATTAAAACCTACAGAAGAATGATCTGAGTGACCAAGTTCCCTTCACCATGCCAACATCTAGATGCACAGGATCCATGAGACATACACTGGGTGCCCAAGGACTCAGTTCTCTCCGGAAACGCGAGGTGAGAAGGGGTGCTATGCTGGATTTTGAGTAATGCTGCTCATGTGGTGTTCACAGAGGGTCAGTATGAGTGGCTCCCTCAGCCTGTACCTGGGGAGCCTCCACATGGGCACTGTCCAGCATGCTGGGGACATGGCAGCAACCAAAGCAAAGTCCCTCCCACAGGGGCTTCGGCTCTAGTCGGAAGAGAATGAGAGGTAGTGACAGGTGCCCGAAAAACATAAAGCGAGAGAAGGTTAACAGTGATTCTGATGGTTTTAACCCAAACTGAGATGGTGCCATTTGAAAACGTTTCAGGGGCTCACAACTTAGACAGGTGATCCAAACGCAGTTCAACAATTGCTCTACAGACACTGTGATTCAGGTAGCCACCTTTGTTTTTAGTAATGATGCTGTCCTGTGTCCAAACCCTGTACCTCATGTGATCATGTGTCTGGACTCTGTACCTAATGAATGACTTTGTCCTGTGACCAAACCCTGCGCATCTTATGACACCGTCATGTGTCCAAACGCTGTACCTAATAACTGTTATGTGCCCCAACCCTGTACTGTATGACACTGGCATGTGTCCAACCCTGTACTTTAGGACACTGTCCTGTGCCCAAACCCTGTACCTTAGAATGTTGTCATATGTCCAAACCCTATACCTTAGGATGGTATCATGAGTCCAAACCCTGTACCTTATGATGTGGCCGTGTGTCCGAACCCTGTACCTTACGATGGTATCATGAGTCGGAACCCTGTACCTTAATGATGTCCTTTGTCTGAACCCTCTACCTTATGATGTGGCCGTGTGTCCGAACCCTGTATCTTACAATGGTATCATGAGTCGGAACCCGGTACCTTAATGATGTCCTTTGTCTGAACCCTGTACCTTATGATGTGGTCGTGTGTCCCAACCCTGTACCTTAGGATGGCATTATGAGTCCGAACCCTGTACCTTAATGATGTCCTTTGTCTGAACCCTCTACCTTATGATGTGGTTGTGTGTCCGAACCCTGTACCTTAGGATGTTGTCCTATGTCCAAACCCTGTATCTTAGGATGGTATCACGAGTCTGAACCCTGTACCTTAATGATGTCCTTTGTCTGTACCCTGTACCTAATGAGGTGGTCATGTGTCCAAATCCTGTACCTTATGATGTTGTCGAGTGTCCAAACCCTGTACCTTAGGATGGTATCATGAGTCCAAACCCTGTACCTTATGATGTGGCCATGTGTCCGAACCCTGTACCTTACGATGGTATCATGAGTCGGAACCCTGTACCTTAATGATGTCCTTTGTCTGAACCCTGTACCTTATGATGTGGTCGTGTGTCCGAACCCTGTACCTTATGATGTTGTCATGTGTCCAAATCCACTTCTGATGGCAGCAGAGCAGATCAATGGCAAATATGCATTCCCACGTGTTATCACTCAGGTCTTCACCAAACTTCTCACTCGACTGAAATTCTGTTTTTGGACATAACTGTATGGTCAAAAGCAGCTTAGAAACCATGAAGCCAACATCTACAGGAGCATTCTAGCAAATGAAAAAAGGAAAAACACGTTGGAGTCTCAAACATGGCACATGTCATGTCCGGAAGCATCATGCGAGTCAGCACAATTCAAAAACACCTTTTGAGAACCGTTCTTTTTTCAGTCAGGAACTATGTCAATCTCAGTCATCATACTTCTGGTCATAAAATGATTTTTGAAAGGGGGCTGATAAGCCAGATGAAAAAGGCACAAGAGAGGGCACAGAGCACAAGCAGGTAGAAGAGGGATCAGCAGCTATGCACACAACTGCTATCGTCAACTGAAATCAGAAAATTAAAGTTGTAACGCAAGTTGTAATAAAAAAAATTAATCTTAAAAAATTTTTCACACTGTCCTTTTTCGGACACTAGAGTTCTGACAGTCTTTTCCAGAATCTCATGAAGTTGACTCCTACAGCTCTGGGCCCTTCCACCTGCTCCTTCATGCCTGGCCATGTTTTGAGCTTTACCCAAGCTGGGAGAGTGTCTAGAAGCAGTCTGCTCCTTTTCCTTCTAAGAAGTCTATGTGTGGTGCGCTACAGTCTGCCCATCCATTTAACCTCGGACACGCTGCTGGGTTCTTTCCCAGCCTCAGCTATCATGAAAGCTCCTATGAACATTCATGTGCAAATTTCAGTGTAGACACACATTTCATGCCCTGTGGCAACACACAGGAGTGTGATGGCTAATCCTTCACTAAGAAAACCTTTAATTTTATACAGAGTTGGCCCAGTGATTTTCTAGGCTGGTGGTACCATGCAGCATGGCCACCAGTGCGTGTGGAAGGTCCACCATAAAAATCACATATGTGGTAATGCAGGATGCAGACTCCGGACAAGCAAGCTTGGGCTTAAGACTTCCTGTGAATGTTTAAAGGCCTTTTAAGCAGCATGAACACACATGCAGCTTGTTTCAAGTTCTTCAGTGTAATACAGAAGCGGTCAGACGGGAGCAATGTACTTCATCGGTGCAGATTTACGTCTGAGCCTTCAGAGAACAAATCAACCATACAGGGATAAAAACTGCTTTATACAGAAGCTGTAAAGGCACTTCTTCCTACCCCAAAATCCACGGCCATCAAGTTGACTTCCTACTCACAGAGTCCTGTGAGTACTTGCCCATGGGCATGCATCCTGACAGTTCAACCATTTGGGTTGAGCTTATATTACCAGGCAGAATATCTTGGAACAGAATTTGGTCACAGATTATCTGCAAGAATCTGTTCATACCCAAGTCAGAGGCCAGCCTGAGCCATCTGCCACTGATGACACATGTGCCATTGATGCCGTGTTCTCCAGCAGCACTATGTCTAATAACTGTCCTTGCATTTTCTATTTCCTAAATGTCATAAAGGTCCGTCTTTGACGACAATGATTTCCTGACTCTGAATCACCTTATTTTGCTTACCTACAAAGCGTCATTCTTTAGGTGTGCAATGGACATCTACTATTTCACTTAAAACTTTCACACGTGACCACCTCGGTGAACACAAGCCTCTCATTTGTGCGTGTGTGTGTGTTATGCTGCACTAGATTTTGTTACTGACGGTGAAGTGAACTTTCCATTTTCTTATGCCTGCAATAACCTGGAATGACTTCATCTTTTAAAGGTTAGACAAAGCATGGGTGGACCCAATACATGCTGCTTTGTATAGTCAGCTTTCAATGATCTTCCCAACCTCATTTATGCTAATTGAGAAGAACTGCTCTATTCACGTGTTCTACTTTTAAAACCAATTTTCTTAATTTTCAATTTTGTCCAGAGAAATTATACAAGATTTCCAACTCTGCTGCTAGAGTTGTCTTCTCCTTCTTCTTCCCGCATCTGTGGTTGCATCTGCTAAGATCCCATTGCTAACTTTCAGTGTCTGTGCTTCTGTCCTTTTTCATCCATCCAAACCATGACTAATCACCTACCCTGCCGGTCTTGTTTGAGAGCAATTCTTATCTCCCATATGGATGGGGATGTATTTCACTACATTATCCTTTTCTTCCCTTCTCCTAATCTCTTTCTCATTTGTCAAATTATTAAGATGATTACCAACCTTTATTAATGATCTGCCTTAAGTTTTAGGTTATTTTAAAGAGCCTGAATTTTCCTAAAACTTGTCATCCTTCCCAACGCCTGGTGACCCCACGTGTGTTGGAGCGGAACCACGCCCTGTGGGGTTTTCTGGGGCTGACTTTGGGAAGCTGATCACCAGGCCTTTCTCCCAAGGCCTCTGTGGGTGGACTCGAACCTGCAGACTCTCTGTAGGCAGGAGGGCTTGCTGACCATGTATATCAACAGGGAACGTACAGGGATTTCAATTTCCAAGCAAACATTTCTATAGAATCTCTGAACTATTTATTTCTAATTGTATCAAATTACCTGAGATTTGTGTAATTCAAGGTTTTCCTGTGGCCAAATTCATAACTGCCTTGGTCCATGTTCCATGGACATATGAAAACATAATACAGCAAAACCTGCAAGAGCAGAAGCTCTGAGCCAGAAACCTGGTTGACAAAGAAAACTCAAATAGTTCACACTGATGGAGACTGAAAGAAAGGAGCGACGGGACCCTGTCACAGGCAGAAAACTGGGTGAGAACTGAAAAAAGGGCAGTCCTGTGCAGTGCCGGTGGACACAGGTTCCCCTTCACAGCCTCACTCAGTTCTTTTGTGGATTACTGAACTCCTCACTCCTCCACGCTCTCACTTATTTCGTGTACTTGTTTTTGTGTTATTGTTGGGTGCCATGCAGTCACCCGCTCACAGCGACCCTACGTACAACAGCACAAAACACTGCCTGGTCCTGCGCCAGCCTCACAATCCTTGCTATACTTGGGCCCATCGTCGCAGCCACTGTGTCAGTCCATCTTGTTCAGGGCCTTCCCCTTTTCAGCTGACCCTCCACTTTATTAAGAATGATATCCTTCTTCAGGGAATGGTCCCTTCTGACAACACGGCCAAAGTAGGTGGGATGAAGTCTGGCCATTCTTGTTTCCAAGGAGCATTCCAGCTGCATTTCCTCCAGAACAGACTTGTTCATTCTACTGGCAGTTTATGGTATTTTCAGTAACCCTCTCCAACACCATAATTCAAAGACATCAGTTCTTCCAGCTTTCACAAGCATACAAGGCTACTGAAAATACTGTGGGTAGAATTACATGCACCTTGGTCTTCAGAGTGACATCTTTGCTCTTCACTTTAAAGAGGTCTTTTGCAGAAGATTTTCCCAGTACAACACAACACCTGATTTCTTGACTGCTGCTTCCATGGATACTGAATATGGATCCAAATAAAATGAAATTTTTGACCATTTCAATATTTGTTTGTAATGTTTATTGGTCCTGTTTTGAGAATTTCTGTTTTCTTTAGGTTGAGGTATAATCCATACTGAAGACTGTAGTCTTGGATCTTCATTGTGGTAATTAAGTTTGTGTGTCAACTTGGTTGGGCCTGGTTGAGTGGCTGGGCAGCTGGATGTAGTTTCTCCCCATGGTGAGAGTGGCAATTAACTCCATGGTAGAATCTACTGTTAGCAGCTTAGTAGCTGCCTTAGGGATGTGGTCTGCTTCCCATATATAAGAAGCAGCTTTGAGAATGGTCTCTAGCTTATGGCACGCTTGAAGCCTGCATGTAGCCATGTCATTGCTCAGCATCCTGTCATGCTCTGTTGACCTTGGGACTTTCTATGGACTTGAATTAATGGCCTGCCATGTGGTTTGGTAACATCAGGACTGTGCCTTTTTACTTGAAAACCTTGGGCTTGTCAGCCTCAGCAGCCAGCAGCTGAGTGAAGAAAAGCCTCCAGCTTCAGTGGGATGGGAGCAGGAGGCAGAGCTAAAGCCCCAGGCTGAGGTGCTCTCACCCAGCCCCTAGAGGCTGACACTTTGAACTCTGACTTAAAGCCTCCAAACCGAAAGAGAATAAAACTCCTGTTTGTTAAGGCCATCCCATTTGTGGTATATTCTTGTCAAAGCAGTACTAGGTAACCAAAACACCACCCCATTTGTGATATATTCCCGTCAGAGCGGCACTAGGTAACCAGAATATTCATCAATAAGTACTTCAAGTCCTCTTCACTTTCAGCAAGCAAGGTTGTATAACCAGCATATCGCAAGTTGTTAATGAATCTTCATCCGATCCTGCCACCACACTGTTCTTAACATAGTCCAGCTTCTCAGATTATTTGCTCAGAATACAGATTGAGTATATGTGGTAAAAGGACACAACCTTGACCCACACCCTTCCTGATTTTAAACCACACAGTATCCCCTTGTTCAGTTCAAACAATAGCCTCTTGGTCTATGTACATGAGCACAGTTAAGTGTTCAGGAATTTCCATTCTTCTCAACATTATTCCTAATTTGTTATGACCCACACAGTCAAATGCCTTTGCATTGTTGTTGTTGTTATGTGCCGTTGAGTCAAACCCAACTCATAGCGACTCCTCCTTGGGTTTCCGAGGCAGTATCACTACGGAAGTAGGATTGCCCAACCTTCCTTCCGAGGAGTGACTGGTGGGTTTGAACCGCCAGCCTTCTGGTTAGTAGTCAAGTG